GCACACATATATTTTCTAAAGGGGGAGGAGAGGAACTGGCCGAGCTGACAGAATCACCATTTTAAGTTGTGTTGTCTTGGTGTTTAAGATATAAAGGATATCTGTGCTGTTTATAACAGGCAAGCTTTTATGTTTTTTTATTAGAAATGATAGGAGGCTGGGCTGATTTAGAATTTGTTCCTGTGCTTCTGTAATTACTCTTTGTGTTGTACTGTATATAGCTGATCAATCCAAATGATCTAAAAGTCTGCCAGCTGAAAGCCTGCCAACAAGCTTTCACATACTGTACATGCTGACATTGTCACGTGATGGCAATCAGTGTAATTAAACTGCAAACCAAATTAGTGTTGGCGTAACGAGGCTTGCTTTTGCTGATTTTCATCATTTCTTGCTCCATGAAGAAAAATGAACCAAGAAGTGAACTATAAATCCTGGATCTCTGCATTCTCGCCGCAGGCTGTGTCCCTCTGGATCCCCAGCTCAGCTCCAGTTTAGAAGAAGGAAGAGATTTCCTGCAGGCCTTCCCGGACAGCGCCACCTTCGGCGCCATCAATCAGATCGCTCACGCAGTGATGACCAGCATCGCCGAGCGCGGGTGACCCCTGACCCGCCCTGCCAGCCACATGCCCACCTTCTACCTGCTGCCTTTCCCTTCAGAGAAACAAACTGGACGTTTTTCTACACGGACCATGCTGCGTTCTGTCATTAAAACCCCTTGGGACTCTTGCTTATGCACAAGTCTCACTCGCCTTTGGGTTGGAGTTATACTTCAGTCTCCTCTCCTCAGCTGTCTCACTGAGCAGTGAGCAAACACACACTATTGCATGAGGACTCCTCTTAAATAGCAGCACTAGTACTGGCTTCAAACCAGGTTCTTGAGCAGTGTGATAAATGAAATGACTGTCAACTTAGGAAATTCAGGAGACAAATGGTCAAGGGGACTCGCACAACTTTCTAATTTAAAGCCCTTATCCCTGTAATAAATCAAATCAAAAGCATCCTTTCCTTCTGTGTGAAAGCAATGCCTAATATTAAATTATTGTGACATTTTTTTAAGGAACGTTTAATTGATGTACTGAACGACTGAAACTGCTCATACATTTTTGTGATGATTTCAAAGCTGTTTTTTTTTTACAGCAATGCCCGCTTAAGAGCCAAAGGACCAAAGTCAGCATTTAGCTGTAAAGTCAAATGGTCTTTCTTACAGAACTCAGATGAACCTCCCCTTGCATCATACGTCATGTCTCAAATACTGCATTAGCGCGTGTCAGCTGCAGGAAGAGTACTGGCCCTTCAGCTAGATCATTGATTTAATGATCCCATCCTTCTGTGACCATCAGCCAAGCCTCTCCAGGCGGTGCAGGGAAAGACTAGCACTGACACACTAGCACTCTGGTGTTCTGAATACTCTCCCATAAAACCGCCAGAATAATGGGGCCACACAAACTTACATAACATTGCTGAACTGTTATTCCCCCATTTAATAACAATATCCCCTTCCCACAGAGAAGATTAACATCCACATAACTGTGCAAGGGATAGAAATACTAGCATAGCCAGAACCTCACCTTATAAAGGGCAGACGGAGAGTACTTTAAGCACCGCAACTAAAAATACTTTAATAAAATGTTTTGAAGCAGAAATGCTGGTTTTGGAAGACGTGTATAAGGCAATAACATTTGTATGTGATCCAGAGGTGAAGAAGTTTACCCACCGTCTCAAAAAGCAGGAGAGGAAGAAGACAGCTCTTTTTTTTTTTGTAATGCAGGCAGCCATCTTGCTTGTGCAGTATGAGAACAGTGCTCCAAACCAGCTGGGCAGTTAAGAGGTATCAATGTGTATCTCCAGAATCCTGACCAGGTCTAGTGCAAATGATCACATTACTCCTATCCTGGAGTCCTTGCACTGGCTTCCGGTCAAATTCCGTGTGGACTTTAAAATCCTCGTGCTCACCTATAAGGCTTTACATGGCTTGGCACCTCAGTACCTGTCTGAACTATTATGGCCCTACTCCCCACCTCGCAACCTTTGCTTTTCTAATTCTGCCCTCCTTACTGTCCCCCAAGCCCGTCTACATTGTATGGGTGACAGGACCTTCTCCTGTTATGCCTCCAAGCTCTGGAACTCTCTCCCCAAGGATATCAGAGTCACCTTCTCTAAACTCCTTCAAAACCAGACTCAAAACCCTCTTCTTTAGAAGAGCCTTAACTTAACTGGTTCCATTCTTTACCCTTCTGCTTTTCCTAGTACCACCATCCATGGTCTCCTCTGCATATTGTAATTGTGTATTTATCTTGTGTATTCTTTTTATTTATTGTTGTCATTCTGTAAAGCGCTTTGAGAAACCACCTTTAAAGGCGCTATATAAAATAAAGTTTATTATTATTATTATCTGAGAGCTGTTTCCACTATATTAACATTCTTAATAGTTCCATCTCTTTCACTGGTACTCAAACGGTCTAGTTCCTTTCAGGCAGAAATCTAATCTTACCCAATTAAAATGTGACAACTGGGATAATTACCGCCATGTCTTTTTTTTAAGATTAAAGGAAATACTTGCTGCAAACAGAAGTGATGGTAAGTATGTAGGATTTCCAAATGTTCTCCCCGTGAAAGACGTTTTAGACTTAAATATGGTACACAGTCACACCTTAATTTATACCTACTTCACTGCCATCTGCAATCAACACATTTTCAAGCAGTGAATACAAATCACATTGTGCATTTCTAGCATACTACATTTATCAAAGCCTCGGTTTGTGCACTGGATATGGATCTATTTAAACTCCATTGTCAAAGACTTAATACAAATATGTGAAGTTCTTATCCATGAAAGTCCTGTGGTTAATCTGATTTACGTCACATAAAAGAAACGATGGCATTCTATATGGTCCAGAAATAAGCCCCATTCAAGGTCCCCTAAAATAGTCACCTTTTTATTCACATTAAGAAAGTCATATCACCCTATCAATCACTCTAATGAAATTTCTAATTGCAGACAATGTTCTTCTCATTATTAATGCCTGGAACTGAAAAGGACACAAGGCAGAAATAGATACAGTCAGATAGTCCCATCTTGCAATTCGTACATTTCCATTTGAATGATACCTAAAGATTTTAATATCAAGAAATCAGTATTAGAAAAACTGATGTTGCCCTATATAGTGTTATATTTGACATGTTATGATGTTTTTGGACATAGGCACACTATGAGAACATAACGCTGGCATGTGTTTAAGTTATCCACTCGGATGAAAAAACGGAAAAACTTCACTGATGCCTCTCAGAAACCCAACTACAAATAAACACTTTTACTGAAACTCTCCCTTTTTTAAAATCAGTCTTCGTGATCCCAAATGCAGAATGTACATTTCTTTGAACTAAAATGAGAAATTAAAGCTGGCCGAACATTTAAGAGCTTAGTGTCTACAGGACAGCAGGGAAAAGGATGTCATTGCTCAGAAAGCCAGAACTAGCAGCCCTTAGCAGGGATAAAAGAACTACTCATTTCCAACATTTTTAAAGATAGCTACCGCCATATCTGAGGCACAGGAAACATTTTTGACTTTCTTCCTCATCCAGGATTACTCATACTCCAACTGTCTCCATGATTAAACCATTAATTAGTCACTTAGTAACCGGATCCAAATATTTTAAGAAATCAGATAAGGCTTGTTTTGAATCTTTTTCTAAGCTTCTGCCCCCCACAACAAATCCTGACTCTACTGGTTTCACCATTAAGATTCCTCAGCTGTAACTGAAGAACACAAATTTCAAGAGCTGGAAAATGGCCGACACACAGCCTGGACAGGACAGCAGTACTACATTTTCACACCTTGGAGACATGTAGAGAACAGTTAAAGATGTAGATATTCACAAATTCTATTTGAAACAAAATTCTACAGCCCAAAAAAATATGCTATTAAAACATGACTAACAAAAGGAACCTGCATGGTTTATAGGCAGCTGACTACTTTTAAGTGCGAAAGAAAACAAGGTCTCTATTCAAACCATATTTAGAAGGTGATTAGCAGAAATCCAAAAGGCTTAATTATAGCTGAAGTAGGTGTAAAACCTGTCTAAAAACAGTTATGAGTGCATTGTCTGCTGTAAGCAATACCATTAACCTAGAAAACCACAGAGGCTTTATCATATGTATTTCAACTGTGAGATAGGAGAAATAGTTGGTGAGTATATTAAGTTTTACCTTTATTTTTAAATCAGCATGCATGAAATGAATTTTCAGATTCCTTTCAATTATGTTCACATTTTGCACAGCATTAAGTAAATGCCCTTTATCACACTTTTGTCCATATTTGGAGCAAAGTTTATTTTCACACTTTTATGAATCAAGGTCCCCGTGTTGTGAAAAAACTCCCAGCCTGGACCAGAAATCATTAGCAAGGACATACAGAACTGTAACACTTCAGAACTGTTGGGGACCCAGAACAAACCACAACACAGAGGAACCGTCTTCTACAACAGGGCTGTCCAGTCCTGGTCCAGGAGAGCAGCTGTCTGCAGGTCTTCTTTCCAGCACAATTCTTAATGACTTCAACCAGCTCCTTATTGGCTTAATTGGACATACGTAGCAGGTTCTCCTAATCCCTTCAGGTGCTTTAAAAAGAACCCAAACCTGTTGAGACACGGGCTCCCTCCAGGACCAGGACTGAAAACCAGTCCACTGCACTGGTCTGCAGTCTCTTGGATCAACGGGGAACCATCAGGTAAGACGTATGCAACTATACCACTGTTAGGAACACATCCAGGTGCATCAACAGAAATGCCCCACCCCAGACGGTCCACGCACAATACACTTCAAAGGGCGTTTGTGAAAATGGGGCTCTTTGAGGGCAAGTTTCCAGAAAGTCTAGAATAACAAGGAATTTTTAAACCATGCAAAACTAAATCATGCAATGTCATGAAGAGACCAGCTTTTTAGAAACGGAAGTGGGTGAAGATGCATTTCTAATTTCCAATAACAAAATTAAGAGGTGTGGGTAAGTTGAGGAAATTTATTTGGAAATTAGACCTGTGAAACCCAACAGTGGGCACACACCTTAATGCAATCAAACAGCTGTACTACAGGAAAACGTGTTACAAGTGTTCTTGAGAATGTCAGCATTATAATTAAAACACACACACAGAACTCCCACTCCAATATCAGAACACTAAAGGCAATCTCCTTTTTAAACCAATTATTACATCCAGAGGAATTCCAAGCACTTATTACAATTACCCACAGTGCAATAATCTACCTATACATAGATATATTTATAATATATATATATAATGGGGAATTCAATAAAGACTTTGCTCCATTTAAACAAGTTTTATGAACATTTCAAATCTTTATAAATAAAATCAGTGAAAAAAAAACTATTCCATATATTTGTACAGATAATTCCTCAACATCAATATGGAAATTGGAAACTGTCCCAAAAGGTTAGTTCCAGAGTCAGTTCTCCCATGAAGGGGGAAAACAAATGACTATAACTAACCTGAAGAAAAAAAAAAAAGATGTAAAACAAAATCATATACCTAAACACACACAGGACAGACAAATCACTAACGTACATTGCGCATTTACAAGGGGTTGACTACCAAATTGAGACAACTGTACACATTGTGGAGATAAGACCATTATAATTACGGAGCTATTTTTTTTTTCCTTTTTCTGGTTTTCTTCTCCTTCACAGAGCGGCGGTGAACGGACGCTTATTTTGTGGACAGGATCAGGGCGACGATGAGCCCGTAGAGCCCCAAGACTTCGGCGAAAATGAGGATGAGGATCATGCCCACAAATAACCTGGGCTGCTGCGCCGTGCCCCGCACCCCCGCGTCTCCCACGATGCCGATGGCGAAGCCGGCAGCCAAGCCGCTGAGTCCCACGCTCAGGCCCGCGCCCAGGTGGAGGAAGCTCCTGCGGACACAACACACGCCAGTTAGACCCCATCAACAGAGAGCGCGCACGGTCCGCCAGCACCCCATCCTTCATCAAGCGTGTACGCCGGAGACCAAGGAGGTGCCTGTGCAATACAAGTCGTATAAGGTAACCTGAAAACCATATATAAACATGCACTAAAGCTATATTTGGAAACACGCAAAGAATCAGTATATCCCTTTCCTTTAGTCATCCTTGCTATCCTAGGATGTAGGACGCAACCACACAAGTAATGATCATGGTTCTTCCATGACCGAGAAGTCATCTGAGAACTGACGAGCCATCCCCGTCAGCTGCCAGAAAAAGCACCCTTCGTTGACCCCTTGGCGCCAGAACGTACTTGAAGAGAGAGACGTTTTCCGAGAGGGAGTTGGCGATCAGCACTGCCACCACCAGGCCGTAGATGGCTATGATCCCCGCCATGACTACGGGGATGATGGACTTCATGATGAGCTCCGGCCTCATGACCGACATGGCGGCGATGCCCGTCCCACTCTTCGCCGTGCCGTATGCTGCCCCCAAGGCTAGAGAGAGGCAAGGCAGAAAGACATCAGAACAGAGCATCAGACAGAGATCACTCACTCCTCAACAGACCAGCCAACGTCTGGCAGAAGTTAAAATCAATACCCTTGTAAGAGGCGCCAATCACAATACACAACACCTTCCCAAATGACCTGAGTAGCAGCAAAATCAGAAAACTCCGGCCCTCTGGTTATCACGGAAAACGTTTTTTTTTTATCCTTTACTAGAATACGACCCAGGGGCATGTTGGTCACAGTGGAGAGTAGTCTGAAGAAAGTATACTGTATTAACTATTTTCCAGTTATATAAACTCAAAGATGGATTTGGTCCTGTTAATCTAGGTTTTCTGCACCCTTGATATCTGGATAATCAGGGTTACCGGTACCTCTATAGAGACTGCATTACAGCACATCACTGACGCAGTGATGCTTTGCTTCAGGCAGTCACAGGTAAGGATTCTGAGAGCTGAGGCACAAGCCATTAACATATGCTGCATTGGTTGTTTTTTTTTTTACACCTCTGACAAAAATGAGTTCAAATCAAATCATTATGCATTTTCCCCAGGGCTATAAAAAGCCAAAAATCCTGGTCCTTGGGAATTTAACATGCAGACAAGTCACTATTCAGAATGTCAACTGGTCTTGCAGGTTATGATGAAAGGTCTTCATTTAGTTCATTCTAAGAGGTTCACTGTAAAACTAGAATTATATCAAGCTGTTAACACCATTCTATTTTATGAGGAGTTCCAAAAAAAAAAAAGGAAATCCCGTTTGCCACCTATTTTCTCTTGGGAGAAATCTGGTCTTTAAGAGCCACACCAGAGATCTTCTTAAATGCACAGATGGCAGCTACCCAACTAACCAATTCATTTATTAGACGAGATACTGATCAATACAAGTTTAAACTGTAAATCTATCACACACACCCTAAGCAAAACCCACATTAACTTGTCAAACAATCTTGACTGCATATTTATACAGACAACCAACTTAAAGTAAATTAAAGGCCTTGCAAGTAGCTCCCTTTGGGAAATGCAAAGCATCTCATCATGCTAGTTTTACAACTTGTTTTTACAGAAATGCACTATGTACTGGGCCTAAATACCAATCTAAAGTATAGTCTGCCCCATCATAAGTTGTTAAAATGACTCAATACTGCTTACACACTGATTCTTACCACAGAACCTGTACGGACATACAGTAATTAGAGATAGTTAGGCAGGAAGTCTGTGTTAATTCTTAACTAATTAACCTTTTCCTGACTTTACTGCCCCACAACACAGTGATATAAACAGCTGTACTGCAGTGGAGATTAATTTGTGACAGAATTTTGACCACAATTTAAAAAAAAAGACTGGGAAGCTTAACAAAAAAACAAACAAACCAAGAATCAGAATAAGAATAAACATTCTTCATTCAAAGACATCTAGCCATCAGTCTTAAATAAAAACAGAATCATCACATTGAACCTAAAGGTCACAAATGAGGAATCTTCTGCCCATCTCGTGCAGTGCTCTAAACAGATCCCACACTGAATAAAACATCGGGCTGCCAGTGTATACACGATAGTGCTTTACATGCAGGGTTAGCAACAGACAACAGGAATAATGGGACACAAGGACTAACTAATGTTAGTGTTAATCAGGCTTTGCTTGTTGGTAAAACATAAGCATTTGGATAAGTTAGTGGCTGGAACCTGCAGACTTTCAATGCTTTTGTCAATGGGAAGTGATGGTGATAAACCCCCATTTTTTAGTTCTGAAATAAATCCATTTGGGAGGTGGAATTGTCTACTATAAAGTATCTCATGAAATGCCATGACTGAACATTAATAACTGTGACATTATTTGCAGGGTCTGTCTGCCCCATAAACCACAAGTCTTGCTCTCTCATTTACAGAGACGATAAAGGCAGCCAAATGCTAGTTAACATCCTATAAATGTACAATAACCAGGGATGATGACAGCCTAAAAAAAAAACAGGAAGAAATAACCACAAAACCAGAAAATGGTTTGAGAAAGACTAGTGGTTGCAGTTGTGCTGCACAAAGCAAGTCACACATGACTAGTCCAAATCTAAAATTTCAAACATTGGCATTTTTTCCCCCCAAATCCTTTAGGAGAGGATGTGCACAATGAACCTTAAAAGAAAATGGCTCATAACTTGCCTAACAGCTGCAGCTGGACAAATGGAAGCCACATAAACAAGAATATATAAATATTGCACAATAATATATGAGGCACAGTTACACAGCAATGGGGAAATACAACTGAGACCACAAAGCTAGGAATATAAAAGGTGGAGTAAAAACACCAGGAGCACAGTGCGTTTAGGGAAAAGGCAGAAGTGTATTTAAAAAGAAAAATCATAATGGTGCCAAGAGATTAAACATAAAATATTAAACAGGCCTCTTGTCCAACTGAACAATTCCGATTTGTTTTGAGTGCTACAGGAGATGGGCAGAATAACCTCTGCATTGGAGATCTCCAGCCTAACGCGTGTTCAAAAGGCTTTCCACATCTTCCCGTTTAACGGACTACACCATCTAGGACTTTAAATTTCGCGGCGGTAGAGTGATCCGCGGATTATCATCTCGGAAATGAGCTCAAAGTGTATTCACAACAAACTTCGGCCAACACACACACAAAAAAAAACAGAACATTGGGCTTTCCTTTCCCCGCTGTAAGATGAATCCAGAGATAAAAGGATTTACACAACAGACGGCCTCCGTCAGGCAAGACCATGCCATCCTCCGCTGAACCCAGGTGGCAGTCAAAGCACGCCCAGGGTCAGTTCCCAATCCGCAGATAAGGAAATCGCCACTGTCCAGCACTCACAAGATTGCCGTGGAGAATAATACCATCTAAAACAAACCTGACTGCACCTAGGCTGAAGCTTGTTTCATTCTTAGCTAATGGTGTTCTTGGCTAGGCAAGTGTACCATTTTCTTTAACTAAGGACATGGTGAGGGACTCCTCCTGGCAGATTGATCTAGCTAGATGAATGTATAACATATACAAAGACTGTATCCGTAGCTACACACAAATACACAAGCTACCACCGATTGTCATTTTCAAAGAATGAACACCACTGATGTCCCTCAGTGTTACAAGAGTTCAAAAGCTTCATCTACCAATCAACCTCTAGGGTAACTTATACACTATCTGACTTTTTAAAAACCTGCAAAAATTAGCACTTTGGAAATGACAGGAAAGAGATAAGGAACTTGTTAAACAGCTGTGAGAATGTTGTTTTGTATAGGTCAATACAGTACAAACAAACCCTAAATGAATAGGCAATGTCATGTCTTAATCTTCCTTAAATAAAACTATACAGTATTCTGCCACTTTTTCACAACTTAGGTATTAAATTACACACAAACCAGGCTTAAACTAACCGTCAAATAATTTTTCCTCAATATAGATTTTCCATAATCAAAGCACAAAAAAAGGTCAAGATGCTGAGCTATGAGGAAGAAACCCCCATCTGATTTGGTGACACGAGGTATATCACCACCTGGTCAGAAGTCTCTGACTCACTGTACTGCTGCACTGCTAAATGCATGCAGTACATACAGATGAAGGAGCTGCACACAAAACAGGTTCCGTTTTATACAAAGACAAGGGATATCTACATACTAGTTACAATCTTAATGATGTGTGTATATCAACACAACAATTTTGTTGTTTTCTGCAGTCATTAAAGTTCTATATATTATGAAGGACGTAATGATCAGGGCATCTCCCCCCCAGTTATCCTTTTACCTTTATTTGAATTGCCAATGTGCACGCTAAGCCTGTTTTTAATCATACGTACAATAACTATCCAATGATTTTTTTTTAAACAAACTGAATAAGAAATACTATAAATACTAAAGGGACTCCTAAGTGTAGTAAATGAAAAACTGAGAATGTCAAATCAAGATATACCAAGCATTTTCAAGCCCTGTCAAAGAATTAACTGGAATACAACAGTAGTTACTATAGAAAGACAAATAAACATGATTGTGTACATTTTAGACCTGAATGCCGAGAAAAAACAATTCCTCCAAACTCGGGCCTTCTCCCTTTACCAAAAAACAGACCTTACTTTAGCATGAAGGAGAAGCACCAATTTTAAAATACCCCATTACTTGCCTGCCTAGCTATTTATGAATATAAAATGAACGACTGCTTATAAAACGACACTTGAGAGGTTATGCTGTAACTTTTCTCCTAAAACCAACATGCAGCGTGAAAATATCACTGGAGGTATTTCAAAAAATCTTCAAAACACTCAGAGGATTTAAAAATGTTTTTTTTTTCCCCCCAGAATAACAGTGCAGTTCATGTACTTCTATCATCTCTGCCTGAGCACCCCAAGGCAGAGTCAGGCGACCAGCTGTCACCTCTGCGTGACATTCCTCTCACAAGCAGCACCCCTGCGTCTTTCTGTCAAGTCCTTTCTACAAGCCAGACTCAACTGCAAAAAAAAAAAAACTGTTTTAAATCAAAATGTCATGACACTTATTTAAGAGGCCGCTTTCAGAATGCTGTTCTTTCATAATGGGGCACTAAAAAGGATTGTATTGAAGACATCAGAAGGGGGGAAAAGCCCACACTGACCCTGCAGTAATGCAGGCTGTACACACTGTCATGTGTAACGTAACAGGAGAACATCACCCGGCCTGATCTTACTAGGTCAGTGCACGCACCTGCACACGGTTTTAGGCAAAGACACATCTCTGTGTAATGCAACACCAATGCAGCTAAGAGTGATGTACACGTGCCCAGCAAACACTGATGCAGCAGTGTGAACGCCACACAGGAACGTCAGGTGAGCGAAGGACAGGCCTCACATTTTCAAGTCAGGATCTGCAACGAAATCACTGCACAATGTGCACAGCATGCTGGGAACACTCGTGGGTAATTCCAGTCTGCCCAGGGGTGTACAGAAGTATAACGGTCTACAAAGCATTTTGTATTTACATTTTCGACAAGGCAGGATATTGGTGATGGAGTTATTCTAGTAACATCCAAATGTGATTAACTTATAGATAAAATAAATTATTCAATAAAGCCGTTAACATGGGCTTAGTCCTAAACTCCCAGTTTTAAAAGTCTAGAATACTTCCATGACCACTTGACCAGTATAGCTGATTTTAGCATCCGACACAGGCAAATATACACTCTTCAGCCCAGAAGCGTCATCTCAGTTCAATTACAAGCTTGCACATTTAAACACATTAGCAGAGGAAAAGAAAAAGGTAAATGTCGGTGTCGGAAGAGGTTTTCATTACCCTTGCGTGCAATCGACTTGCTCCCATCCTCACCAGAGCATAAAATGACTTTCTGCTCACACATGCTGCTGGCTAACTCACCATCTGGCCCTACCAAAGGCTGAGGCTCAAGAACACAAACGGCTCTGGCTATCTGTTTAAAATGGATTCCTGTGGGCAGACTGGAGAATGAAGTAAAAAAAATCAATTTTAAAATCAATACCATGTTAAGAAAACATGAGTAATTTAAACATCTGCAACCCTCTGCTTTCATTACATATGTGAAAACATAAAAGCCTAAGGAGGAGACAGTGTAGAATAGAGAGAATTTGTAGGGAACTTGTGGTCATTTACAACAGCCTGGAATGAAGACTTAGATTTTCATACAGATTTACATTAGATTGCAATTAGATCACCTAAAAAGGTCAAAAAAAAAGTCTCAATTGTCACTGGTAATTCCTTTCCTGGGGTTGGAAAAATACCAATCTTGATAAAAAAAAAATGGATGGAACAAATTGCACACTTAACTAAGATTATACACTAGAAGGAAATAAAAAATGTAATTTTACAGAGGTTGATATAAACTGTACACCTTTACTAGCTAGGGAAGGCAGTAATTCTTAAGAGATTTTACAGACATTAAAACAGAAGCTTCTGTGGACTCTGTCACATTCACCCCTTCTCGTACAATCCCTCCGAATGCTCTTCAATGGAGGGCATTACTCAAGGTGACATTCCACATCAATAAAATCGCAATTTAACTTCACACCATTTCTCTTCTGAAATAAGCTCCTCAAGAGTGATGCTGGGAGACACTGTGGAGAACACAACTGGCAAAGTTAAACTACCTCCACTGAACACCCAACTAGCCATGATCATGATTAAGGTTTTAGTTTCAGTTTTTCAATTGCATCATATGTAGGCTTGGCTAACTGACACACTGTCAGCTGTTTATCGTGGATAACTATTCTATAATGGAGGACAAATAATAAACACCAGATATAAAAAGTCAGCAGCTGTAGTTACACATCGGGCTGCACTACAGTTCCAGTATAGACAATACAGTTTAGATGTATCCCTGACATAAGATGGAAGAAATAAGCACTTCCAGCAGGGGTAAACATTTCAGAAACAGGACACCAAGAATGAAGACCCAGGGTTCTTCAAATCTATAAAAATAAAAGGAGAAGCTCATTTTCCTCAATGGGTTCTTCCTGGGGAATTTTAAACACAAAGGGCACACTGTCCAAAATGATACCAGACATTCTTCCCAGAATTTGTAATGTACGAGTTCATTGGCACAGAACATCTGCGACTATCACTGTGACAAGGCCTTGAGCACACAAGCCAACTTCATTAAATTATAAAACAAAGAAACTGTTGGAAGAGCTTAACCCTAAGAAGGCTGAACTTTAACCACTGATGTCTTTGAGGCACCCAGGTGAGATGTGCCCTAACCAGAGAAGATCTCCTAGAAATACAGCTGGTGGAAATATGGGTTCTTGCGGTCTGTACAATCGGATTATAAAACAATCCTTCGTTATAAATGAGGGAAAGCAATATTTCTAGGCAATTCGAAATTGGGGTTTACGTTTGTAACAGGATTTTGACACGCTGGTGAAGAGGCCAAATTTAAATTCTCCACTTGTGACACCTTAAGTAAATCATTATGTAAAACCTCCGCAGCTAATCAAGCCTTATGTATGTTTTACAACGTATTTTACCGTGTAGTGCCAGAAAATGGCTTCCTTTCTCCTTTTTTTTTTTATACTCGCTAAAACCAGTCATTCCCCTGCAGTCATATGACTCACTACGGGGACTCCCCTCCTCTTGCAAACCGGAGCGCCGACGGAAATGGTCGAAGATGGCGTCAAAGTCAGGGTAGGAGCCCGAAGGGGCAACGAGGGTGGCGCGTGCCCCTGCTCGTGTGACAGCCCGAGGAAGGACGAACCTTTCCGGAAACTGCCGAACAGGCAACCCAAAGCAACACTCGACCCCCCCGCCGCCATCCAATGATCCCAATTAAACAATTACTCGCCCTTTGTTGATTTAAATGTCTTAACTGTGAAGCAATGCGGTCCACTCAGAGGTTAGCACAGGGAAGGGATATGAAAGACCCGAGTCCCAGTGATTCAGTTACACGACAGGATTTCATTACAGCCTGCCCGGACAGGCAAAACAGCAGCACGGTCGTGAGCTAGCTGCATTTTGCAAAGATGACGCTCCTAGGCATTGCACAAACCAATCGGCTAAGAATTATTGACCGTGAAGAAAGGTACTGCCAACACCATTCACAGGGGTTCAGCTGCGATGCATGTAGAAAATGAAGGCAACGAAAGTCCCTTGCAGAATTAAAATAATTCCAAGAACGACGCAATACTGAGCGCCACAGCTACCAGTATCTACCAGTGGTAATGATAATTTTACTAACACAGCACGGTACCACTTGCAAGCAGGAATCAACTACGTGCCCAAAATTAATCTAAGAAATTTAACAGTAAATCGGGCTTTTTCTCAGACGGAGCTCGCGAACGTCAAAGGCAACGTCACCCTTCATGAAAAACGATTCTCCCCCACTCACCAGAAGACAAAACCAGGCATCAAACCCTCCCCAAGAATCAACAGACATTGCCACAGTCGTTTACAAAGGAATCAAGAGATTACGATTATTCAGATTTTTGTGAAGAAAAGTGAATTACCGCTGAACACCATCGCCGCAGAGGCGCCCATCACCGCGAAGAATGGGGAGTACTCGGGACTTTCGGAGGACATTGCTTTTCGCTCTCACACTCTGTACAAAAAAACAAAGGAAATACAAAAAGTACGAAGCGTTTCCTGTCTAAAACTGATTTCTGTCTGTAAAACGCTTCCGACTCGTCGCTAGAAACATAAATCGGTGAAACGCAGGCTTGACAACAGACAGTATGTGAGCGAGTCCCGATCTCCTCTCAGATAAATACCGGCGCAGCAGCACAAAATGGCGAAGCGGAAAATGTCACCTGACCTGCCGTCTGGACTCACACCAACTCCAATCCGTGGGGGAGACGTAACAGGAATCGTTTTCATTTTTCGGTGTCGTATTAACTTCAAACTAACATTCGCCACTAAATCAGGCTTAAGTTGAAATACAAAGCTAACGTTTTTTTTTAAATGCTGATCTTTCCTTCTCTTCGCATTTTTATTGATGTGTCATAGACTTAAACTCCCCCCTATTACGTTTTGTGGTAGTATGGTCCTCTGCGGGCTGGACCTGTGTGAAGTGTAAAGCTACCCCACTCCAATAGCGGGGGTAAATGGGCAAATGATCAAGTTCGTATGAGGAATATAAATAGTTTATGTAATTTTTTTTCTCCTCGATAATTAGTTCATGTGTTCATTGCATAAGGCACAACCGTAGGTTGAATTCGCAGGGAAAAACCGACGCCTCCCCCTCACGCGTAATTGTCATCACTAATAAAGTACACCTTTTTCTGTATTTACTCGATTATCTTTTTTTTGGTTTAATCGGGTTTTATCGTGTGACAGTCCAAGGCGGGGGAATGCAACGTTAAGGCTCAACTGTCATTTAAAAACGGGAATTTAAAATTGCTTCACTACGCTGCAACGTGATGGCGATCTGCTGTTACTCCAAATTATAAGCCTCTACAAACGCATTATAAAGTAGTGACAAGTCGTGTCACAGTATTTCACAATGTCACCACTGCCTACTATATTAGAATCGGAATACCATCTAATTAAATAATTGTTTACTAGGTATTAAAACGTAATAGCAAACATCGCTTTACTATACAGTATATACCAGTAAAATGTTGATGTAGTTTACACACCGTGACTGCATTTATACACCAGCATCCAACAACTCGACGTAGCCGAATTCATAAACGACTGAATTTTTCAGGCCTATTTGTGTGCAGGTTTTATTACCATAAGTAATAAAATGACTCCAAAACGCCAGGCATTATTCGTGACTGCCTTGTTCGTAACTGCAGTATCAGCGCATTACAATAGTTTCACTATCGGCAATGCTACGACGGTATTGGTACTGTACCATTACTACTACATATAGAAGCAGTAGAATTGAAAAAAGACCACATCTTGGGAGTCTGGGAACAATGGCCGGCCAACTCGTGATAGAACTCATGACCTGACTGAGAAAGAAGAGGAAGTGCATGTTCTATAGGGGATTGCTAAATCCAAATAAAATGGAATTTGTTTGTGAAACTAGTGGAAATTCCTACATGGGCCCATTCTTAAAATAAAAAAAAAATCTTGCTTTCATTCTCAGCCATTCACATGTTCATCTTATGCACGCGCGTGTTAGTATATGGAATTTTTGTTGTCTCCTTCTATGCACGTTTTTAAGTATTTAGATAATGTTAAATCCATGGTAAAGGGCTAGATGGGCCACATGGCTTCATCTTGTGTGGAACTGTTCTTATGTATTATAAACAAACAGCTGGGAGTCCTTCGTGAATGGCTTTGTGCCAGAAACAAGTTCTTGCTGCGCTGCATTCGGTCTTCAGTGATCTGCGTGCATGTGATTTGCAAGGGGTCATCCCTTCTTGACCCCAGCCAGGCCCTGAACAGGGTTGTGGAACGGGAGATCTCACTGCCAAGCTCTGTGAGAGTGAAGGTGTGGGGGGTCAGAGGTTTCCACTCAGGCTGAGAGCGCGTTCAGCGCAACGCTGGTGCAGCTTTTCCCCCTGTATCATTTCTGCTTTCCAGACAATCAGGACATCTGCGGCCATTTCCAGCAAACAGAAGCAAATGCTTGTGTGTATGTGTGTGTGTGAGAAAGTTGTAACCTCACTTCAAGCAGTGAGTCTCACACCCCCCAGCCTCCCCACTTCAAAGACTGTGTGGCATCGGGCCACAGAAATAAAGGCTCAGCTTGTGCCAGTGTTTAAATCACCACCTACTGTACCTTCACCCCAGTTTTTTTTCCCATTATTGGTAAATATCCTTTTGTTGGCAAGCCCTTGGTGATTCTCTGTTTGCTCATTCAGTTTAGTTGGTCTCCAGTCAAGCCAATAAACTGCTAGAGCCGATCTTTCCTATACTCAGTGGGAAGGAAACAAGTGGGACGCAGGCTTCAGCACTCCATGCTTAAACAAACGGAAGGTTTATGAATAGAACCTGTTGTTCTCGGCTTCAGCTCTGTGTCTTAGAAAACACACTATGGCTTTTGTAGCACTTTCATTGCCAGTAATAAAGTGCATTTTAATTTAATTAAAATTCTTCCTAAGTTGCACAGTGCAGCTATTTCTTTGGTGTAACACTGATGGCATTTCGATATTCCTTCAGGTATTTTGTCAGTAGCACACTGGGGCATTTTGTCCTGGTGACAAGCATACATTTCAGCCACCAGAACTTTTATCCCAGAATTGCTTTTACACGCACTTTGTGACAACATGCACCATGTGTGTTGAGAGCACCCTGCACTTCTACTGTAAGCTGGAATCCTGCTTTTCCAGGAAAGCCTTTCCTTTCCCTCCCTCAGACCTGTTTTGTTTATATGAACACATGCAACATGACGAACAGGATCTCTTCTCTGATGGAATCTTCGTTCAGATTCTGGTATCGAGGTCCTAATAAACCTGTTTGGTGAGCTGGCTGGCATTTTGAATACATGATATGCTGTGGATCTTGCTCTCCAGGGGCCCACAGGTAAATCTAGAACTAGTCTGGCCCTTCAGTGCATAGTCTCAGGCTTTTAGAACTCCTTGAAGAAATTGCAGCAGGTAAATCAAATCACCGACGTGTTTTTGAAGCATGTCTCCATTACTCCTTCTATAACATATGCGGTACCTGCACCACTCAGAAAGAAAAATATACATAATTTCAGTAATTACGGCTAGCATTTTGGAGGTTACTGGCTGTGCACTTTGAAGATGGCCCCAAAAAACCCTGTCTGATATTTGGGGAGGAAAGTTACAAAATGGCTTTGGACTCCCAACGTTTATTGAGAATATGTCCTTCTGCAATTTAAAAGGTCCATCTTAGCACAAGCAAAGCATACCGCCAATAATGCAAAACAACAACAATGCACTTCTTAAAGGTTAGTGTGCTTTAAGCATGGAGTATGGAACGGTACACAGTGGTTCTGTCGAATGACTAGAAAGCACTGCTACAGGCAATTACAGTAGTAAAGGCAAAGCATTCATGCTTATGGTCAATTCGGTTTTATTTTCTTGGATCTAGCATCTGAGATCATCTGAAGAAAGCCATATATTCCAGGGCATCATCGGCAACAAAACCAAATCAATATTGATTAGAATATCGACAGTATTCGGTATGGGCTCTCCTCATTTTTGAAAGTCCATCCACTGTCAGAAAGTCACTGATTCCTATTGAGGGTCCCTGCAACCTGGGGTTTATCCCAAAAGAGCAGGGTGCGAGGCAGGACTACAACAAACATGGCTATCCAGTCCATCATGGTGCGCACACAGATGAAAAAACACCCATCAATCTCTGTCTAAAGCACCCAGAGAAAAGAAATGCCAGCATCTGAACATAAAGAAAATGGGACCGTGGAGGTCACAGGAGGGGCTACGGGCTGTATGTACAGTACAGTGATCTAGGTACAGGAAAACGAGCAACAGGGCTGGATCTTTAAGAAGGCAGGATTTATCTCCTAGCCTCTTCAAATCACAGCCTAGCCCTAGTTTAAACTTCCTGTCTTCAAGGGGAACCTAGGATATTTGTCCTGTCCCAGAGAGATACGACTGAAGTTCTACCGTGCCAGGAGCTGTATAAGGAGTGGTGGTCGTTTCAGCCTCATCAGCTACCAGCTCCTTCCGGATGCCCGGGTCTTAGAAAATGAACAGGCAGCTGAAAAACCTCACTGTTTATAATGAACTCTTTAAAAAGGGATTATGTTTGCAAAGAGACTGATTTTTCTAAGAACTTGGAACAATGGAACAATTGTTCCAGAAGCAGAAGTCTTCTGCTTCTTGGTTCAGGCCGGGTGACACACTGTGGTTTTGAACTCCAGTGGTGGAAACCACAAGCACGAGCATATTCGTTTACCTGCCCGTCAACCTGTCGAGACTTGATTTTGAAACCTGGAGCCGAACTGACCCTGTCGGTTTCGATCTAGACCAGCTGAAACAACAGCCAATCCAGATCAGACAACCTTCCGCGAACGGCTCTCACTCTGACATTGTCACCCAACTCTGGCCCCAGACAGACAAGGCCACCTCACTCTTCTTTATTCCTGCCAGACCTGTATGAAGAAAAAGTGGAGGCAGCCTAATCTCTGTATGTCCTGGGAGTCTCGTGCTGTTCTAGTTACACCTGAGCCCAGACTGCTACTACCTCCAAACTCACAGCTGTGTCACGTAGCTACACTGTCTAAGCCCCTCTCAGCAATGACTCGTCTGCTTTTATAGGTACTCCTCCCTAACTACCGATCACCATGGCTACCAGACAGATCCACCTCAACAGCTGGCGCTTGTCCTGAACGCTGCACTAGAATGCCTTTAAATCGAACACTACAGGAGAAACGAATGACACCCCCGTGCTCCTGTGGAAGACCGAGATATTTCTATGTCAGTGTGAAAGGCGAATTAAATCTCCAATACGATTCCAACGAAACGTCATTCACAGCACTCCGACAGAGGAAGCCCCATCGCCTCTTCCTCCCAGTCCCACAATGTGTGATAATCCCTTGTGTGGGAAAAGAAAAATGAGCTGCTCTCAAAGCATAATTTACATTGCTAGTCCACACACTGGGCAGGGCTGTTATAAAAGCTCTAGAGAGGTGACATTAATAACTGTTGCACAGTTGCCATTTTGTAAAGGCTGGTCCGCGTCATCGGGGTGACATCTTTTTCAGATGGAGGGTAGCTGTAATATGCACATCTGTCGTATTTTAGCGCCTGCTTTAGCTTCTCTCTCTTTTTTTTTTGCCATTTTCTAATATGGTTTAATATTCTAAAGTTCCTGGTGCTTTTGTCGATTTAAAACGTACTGCGTAGGCATCCAGTGGCTTTTTACCAGCAGAGTGGTGCATAAATATTTTAAGAAGTCAAGAAATCAACCATTTTGGAGAATGGTGCAGATGTCAGAAAGCACTGGAGATAGACAACACTGACCAAACCAACGGAGTAAGTAGGCTTTGCATTGATTGGTGCAGAAACATCTATTTCGTCTTTTAAATAAGAACATTATTTTGTGTGGGCGGCCTGTGACGTCCAAGTCGATTTTGATGGGAATATGATGGTGAAAAATGGATCACTCGTGCATCCTGCTTCCCCTTTCATCCTACCCCCTGGATCTTACTTAATTTGCACCCCCAGGGGCTGATAAAACTCATCTGCGCCTGCTTGGTGGGTAGAGAGACAATTGGTGCAACGGGGAAATCCCTCCCCTTTACACAAACCAGGGATACAACAAAACACAAACTAGCGTGCTCACACAAGCATAAAGATGGTCCCCCCTCTAGCTCTTGTGCGAGCAATTTAAAGTGAACCCAGGATTTAATCCCCTAATCCCAACCCCTGGAAGAGTGGATAGACAGGCTCGCAAACGGTGAAGGCTTAAGCATCTTACTTGTCGGCTGCAAATCCAGAATTTCAGCAATCTGCACACGGCATGGGCCACGAAGAGCGACTAAAAATAGAATGGAAACGCGATGGCTTAGCAGCACAAGAATCCTGAATGAGTTTCATGGCTGTGACAGGCAGTAGGGCCTTCAAGCGAGGGGGAGATCATGGCTACTGTGTCGGTATTGTGCACCCAAACATATATCACATGATTCAAAATACAAGAATTTGGTTTTCAACCTGAAATGGAGGCATGTGCCACACGAAGCACGCCGCTCTGGTCAACGTTTTGTTCCGTACAAATGACCTTCCGAGCGAACTGTCTGAACAGCGTCCAATTGCCGTTGAAAGGTCAGATGCCGGAGGAACGGACCTGTAGCATCCAGATCACGAAGAAAGTTGTTGTTTTTTTTCCCCCCTCTGTCAAAAGCCGTAGCGGTTTGGAGCAATCCAGTCTGAGACACCTGTCAGAGCTATCCAGGCCAAACGCTGCTAAAATATTCATGAGCCCCAGCACGCCAACACTGCTTCAGCAGAGAAGGAGCACAGGCAGGGATGGACTTAAACTGTGGGGAAACTGCTTTCAAAGAAGAAGCCCAACTATTATTACAGGGTCCAGAAAATTTCACTCCCCGTGTATGCATACAGTCAGATGTTAAAGCATTTTTATCACAGGAGCAAAACTTACAGTAATCTGCAAGCCCTTTCCATATTTTCACCTTTAAAAACACGGCCCTGTTCACCTTTTTTTATGCCTCTTATGAGGATGTTTTTTGTTTGTAATTTCGGATTGATTTATTCTTGTTTCACACAGGTAGGTAGGTTAGTTCCCCTTTTCAGCCCATAAAGGCCCATGGGGAGGAATGGGCCACCATTTTTCTCAACCATCCGACGCTGGCGGTGCAGGTGCTGTGGTCAGCATCATGCTCCAGCTGGCCTATTACCCCCCGGTACTCATTTGGAAAGCAGGCTGAGTGGACCTGGGAGCTGTCTGGAAGGAATTAGAGTAAACTACATCGCTTGCCCCCTACCTGGTTTGAACCCGGGACCTCCCGGTCAGGAGCTACACACCCTTGCTGTCTGAGCTACCACAGCTCCTGTTTGTTCTCACATAGGATCATTTATTGTGTTGGTCTGAGGAGAAAAACAAGAGACGGACTAAATAAATAACACAAAGCAAAAAGCCAAACCTCACACATGTAGAAATGTAACATTTTAACTCCGTCTGCCCCTCACTGGGAAACCACAGAGCCTGGAGACTAATCCTGTGGTATTTAAAGGCACACTAAGGAAGTGTTTATAGCACTGGCATGCAACTTGGACTTTCTTTGGAACATCAAACAGTTCCTGGCTCCAAGGCTTTCCAAACTGGATTTCTTCCTAATTGATGTGAATCTTTTTTGCTCCAGAAAAGAAACTGTGTCATCAAGGCACACAAAGTCTTCATCCAAAAGTTCTAGGAATCGAGGGAGAGCTCACGGCTCCTGTACCTTGCTTAGGAGAAGACGTTGCTACTCCTAATTTGCCACGCTGCCAGCTCCACCATGCCTCACAGGAGAGTTAGTGCTGATTGGAGGAGAGCCGCGGACCCTCTCTGACATCGCTGTCGTGCTGGAAAACCAAGAGTCGCCCCGTTGAGCATTCTTAACCCTATCCCAGCCATGTTCTGCCAATCCTGTTCGGTCAATCCCGGATCCAGCTGGCCAGTGACGTGGCCCTGAGACAGACTAGTGACAGAGGGAGGGCTTTTGCAAGGTATGTCATCTGGGAGCTCTGAGGTCCCCTCTTTGGGGTGCTTTTACTCCAACGCCTACAAATGAAACCGCTCCCAAAGTGCCCCTATTTTAAGTTACAATAACATGTTTTCTTTCTGGTTGTGCGTCGTCAGTGGCCTTCTGGGGGAACAGTAAAACGTAGGTGGCTGAAAACAATAGCTGCCACTCAGAGTGATTCACTGCTACCAAGAGGGAAGACACAGAGAAGGCAGATGGCTGTTGAAAGAGGTTTTACTGAAAAACTGCAAATAGGCACTGAAAACCTCAGTTACTTGTCTGCCCCCCCGGTGCAACACCAGTAGGAAAACAGCTCTTCTGATCTGGTGTGGGACTGCACTCCAGCAGGAGCAAGAACTGTTTAAAATGAACCCAACCTTTCCCTCTGAGCACCTCAGGACCACTTCAGATCCCTTCACGAGCAAGCAAGTATGAAACCCAGCACATTTCCCTGTAATATTAGTATTTTTTCATCTATTTCTTTAGACATGCTTGGATTCATGCACCACGTTAACCGATGATTAGAGCTAAAAAGTAAAAGAAATTCTGGCCAGCTACAGAACTGGCTCTAGCCTGCTGAAACTGGGCCACAGGAACCTTAGAAGAGTGGGACTAACCTCGGTCAGGGAGTCCAGTTCATCAAGCAACTGTTTATATTATTTTCCTTTGGTTAGTGGAGACAGAAATTTTTGTTTCTTTGCTATTTACAGTAAACGTTATGCGCGTGTGCATAGGGGTGTGAGAGTGTGTGTTTTACACACTAAATAACATCAAGATCCCAGTGTAACAACAGATCATTCAAACCAAAAATACAGAATAGGTGACTGTCAGCAAGGTTGGCCTTCGGCAAATTGTTTACTTCTCACCACTGTTGTTACCTTAACGAATAGTTTCTATAGAGCTGACTTCTAGTCTCACAATTCCAGAACTCTTTCACAGAAGACAGACGCTTTTTGACTGGCTTCCAAATCTAAACGAATTCATGTACAAAACGAACATGAAAGAAACACTGGAAATGACAATGCCGCACACAAAACATGAGATAAAAAAAGAAATGTTTCTTAGACATCTTTAAGTCTCCATCCTGAACTGTACCCTCATTCAATGAAGCAACAGAGGGCAACTTAACACTTGGTTTGACCTTGAGATTTGAGTCCAGCAAATAATAAAACAAACGTATCAATAATGGTGATTCTTTTCAATGATTTCAATGATCCATGTTTACAAATATTTCAGAGTATCCTGGCATTATGGTCTAATATTAGACTCTACATATACAGTATATGTACTGTGATTTACTTTTTATTCCTTTTCATCCTAATTGCATTGCCTGTCATACAGTGTGCTCAGCAATTCTCTGTTCCATTTGATGTGTAGTCAGTAGCTTAAATGGTAGACAACTATTTCAGCAAAGCAGGAGGACCTGAACTACTGTTGCTCCATAATGCTTAATTGATAACCTAACAGCCATGTTCTCTCAAGACTTCTGTGCCACCAGAACCTATTGGTTTTCCTGGATTGTAGAACCAATCGATCACATAGGAAAGGCCACAGATTACCTTAAAAGATATGAGACATTGGAAAATATAACATGTGAAAACAAACAAAACAAACATACACAGATTCATTGTCCTCTGGGTGTTTCACAACTCAAGAAAGCAGAACCATCTAAAGAGAGATTTCTTATTCTACTTTACTAGTATTAAGTCACAGTTATCAACCACAGACTTTTCCTTTTTAGATATATATATATGATAATTTCACTTGTCAAATAAGGGAAATAAGTCTCTTTTAAGAGCAAGCAGTCACTATGATATATAATAACCAGACCTAGTTTTTATTCAAATTCCCATAATCCATAATTATAACTGGTTCCCAGTGCTGGTCCTGGTGACCTGCCTGTTGGTTTTTGTACCAGCTGAGCCCTCAGTTACACAATCAAACCCTTCTTTGACATAATAATAACAAGATTACCTGGAACCTGGTTTATTCCCATGTTAGAACTTGAACAGTTGTGTTTTCTAAGTGAAATAAACTCCCAACCTTTTTCAATATTCAGCATTCAACTGAAGCAACTTCTTGGATCAATTATGACTTAAATGATCTAATTAAGCAGGTGTGTGGGTCACCAGGACGAGGATCGGGAAGCACTGGCTTATGTGACACATACTGTACACTGCATTGTGCTTTGGCCTGCACTGAACTCTGAGACTGAGCAAAAAGTACAGACTGCAGGTTGGCTAACTTCTCCTCTCACAGTACAGCCCTGTGACTCAGAAAAGGGAGGAAGGAAGGGAACTGGGATATTGCGAGCCAAGTTCCTCCATGCATCTCCCCGTGTACTCAAAAACAACATTCTTCCTGCCTTTGGGCGGGTTAGTAAGTAACAGCTGGCGTCGGTCAGGTGACCTGCTAGTGTGTTGTGCGTCTCTGGGCCTGGAAGCCTGTTTGACAAAGAACTGCGACGTGCCAGCGACTCACTTCTGCTTTCTGCAGGGACTGAAACTGTGCAGCTGAAAGTCGGTGTAGTCGGTGGGCGTGCTCTTGCACAACTCCAGAGGAACAGCACCCAGCCCTTGAATGGTATCATGAACATTTGCTTTTTAACAGAAGAGTTACAGGCCTGAAGCAAGTCATTAGAGCAACTGACTTGGGCTGTGATCGACATTTCTATCGTACAGCATCATCTTCACCATCATCTGCTACCCAGGGACCTCCTCCTGAGCATTTGTGGAAACAAATATAGTTCAGGGTAGGGAGTATTACAGTGCAATCATAATTTTGCGTATACCAGCAGAGATTCCTTCTGCTGGATGTGCACCATGTGATTGCGAAACCACCCAAGACACAACATGTCTTCCATTAAGTCACCCAAGTCACTACTTTGTGAAAATGACTTACTAAGCAGTGCCAGAAGGTGTGTTTCATTGTCTCCATGTTGTGTGCACAAGGACAAGTGTGAGAGCTTTGTCAGAATTTCATTTGTCACCCAACCCATGACAGTGACTGGTTCGTGCATCATTCCGTGTCTTGTCTTTTTAAAGTCCAGATATACAGCTGCTGCCGTACCTGAATTGTGAATTGCAATGCATCTGGTACATTACAGAGTATGGACTGGTTTTGCTGGCCATCTTGATGAGTGTAGTTTTGTTCTCTATGTAACAGATGCCACTAACACCTCTGAATTGCTGCTGTGTTCCACGCAGCCAAGGATACAGACTGCAGGAGACCCATTCCCCTGTTCAGGCACCTTGTGCCTTGTGCATCCTGAACATTCTTAGGCCAGACTGTGAGGTCATAAGGCTGCTGAGACATCCATGACACTCAGACTGAACCACAAGGAGCAAATCTATTTATACACCGCACTGGATGTTACACATTAGGAATAATTTGATTTTGTTACTGAAGATGAGGCAGGAGGGAGGTTGATGGAGAGAAATGCTGATGCTTTACTACGTGATAGTCATCTAAAAAAACTTCTTCCATGGTAAACCACAGGAAATGTTTATAAGGACTTTTGTCTAGGTAAAATTATATGCAATCCATGCATTACCTCTGACGTCTGTGCTGAGGGCTAATGGTGTTTTCCTGATCAAAGTGTTTCAGAATGATCACCATAAGTGTAAAGATCACCTGTTGTTTGTGCAACTTCTCTTCAGAGCCAGTAGCAATGGCAAGGCATCCATCACCCGAGGGTCTGTGAAAAATGGTCTGGTGGCGCTCTCTAGTTCTACTATCAAACACAACAAAAAAGAGGCGTTCTTGTTTCGAATCTGCCTGTGTGGTCGTCTGACAGAGTTGGAGGTAGTTACAGTTGTACCACCAAACTTTACTGTCGAGCTCCATGAGCCAGGATATCCTTGAAATAAAAAAATAGATTGAACATGCTAAATAATCCCTTCCTGCTTTCAAACACATGTTATAGGGACTCTCCATGCAGACTTAACAAGGTAAAGAATTCCTTAATTTTGCGTTCAATCAAAATACTCAATAAACGAGTTCATGGTTTGGTTTTATAGGCAAGTGCAGTTAGTGATTATGTGCAAAACGGAAGGGGTATTGTGCAATTATAGTGGCTTGGTGTGATTGTGTGGGGAACAAACTCCTAGGGTCTGGTAAGCTCTGGGGATTCCTGTAGGAGTGGCGTATGAGGACTATGGGTGGGCTCAAGTCTTTTATGTAGTCTTACATTTATTTTTAAGGCACTGTTTATATGTAACGTTTGTGTGTTCTTTCGGAAGTCTCTGAGTGCGGGAATCCTAGGTGCTTGGATGCAAAACACATTTCCTGAGCAAGCAGACTGTAAAGTGTTATCAGAGTGTCAATAAGCTTGGAAAACCAACTGAAGATTGTGTGAAGAGTTTGTGAAAACTTGGCTTCACCCACTTGGCTGAGGGCCATCCTCCCAGTTATAGGACGGGGAGACCCGGATCCCCATGCCCAGAGAAAAGGGGACCAAGGGGTAGCTGCAAAGATGGAGGTGGGGTGGAGGAGGAATGCAAAATGAGTGAAGATGAGGAGAGAGTGACAGGTGGTATATATGGGAATTTGAGAAATTAAATCAGGATTAGTTATATGTTGTGGCAGCTGATCTTAATTAGATCATCTGGCTGCCCTCATCCCTCCCAAACCTTCATTCTGAACTCCATTAAAAATAAGATGGTGACAAGGCAGAATAGCTGCATTGGGATCTGGCCAGTATACATAATGAAAGAATATAAAAGAATACCTGCTCACATTATACATCACACAGTCCTGTTACGGACCTTCCCTGGGCCTGCACATCCGTACCCAGGGCAAAGGCAAAGCAAAAAAAGAATCGGGTTCAGTACAGCGTCACGTTTTTAAAACAAACCAAACCAAACGGAGACGAAGGGGTTAATGGCGTAGTACGAGTTGCTCAAGGTATCTGTGTGGTAAAGACTTTCCAGCCTTGCCTCACGACAGACCCGGTCAAGGCAGCAGACCCTGGATAGGGGAAGCTGCCAGCAGAAATAGAAACGAGCTCAGTCTGATCCTGAGTCAGGCTCTTCGGGCTGTCGGGGCCCGGTCTCTGCTTTCTTCAGCCCCACCGGCTCTGTTCGCGGTGTCTTCAAAACACCGCACACGGCCAAAACTGCAACGGCACTATAAAGAGCCTTCTCTGAAATGCTACACACGAGCCCACGTGCGTTTGATTATTAACCTCTCGGGATTTCATTTCCAGATGCAAGATGTCTTTTCACTTCTTGAAGAAAATGAATTGTTTTGCTTCGTGGAACTGATGAAAAACACATGCCGATACAAAGGTGAAATGCAGGGACATTGGGGGCTTTTTAAACTGATTAAGACGGTACAAGGGCTCCCACGATAATGCATTTATTCCTACATACAGTAGCTATAGATCTATCCATTAGCAGGGCCTTTGCACAGATATCCTCCGTCCCTGTTTAGGTATCTGGCAAAACGCACTGGGTCCTGTGTAGCAGAAGCTGCTGCAAAGGAACTGGCCTTCAAGGGGGTGTAAAGTTACTGGGACCCAGGTCAGTACAGTGAAGTGAGGGTTCCAGTATTTCCCTCTTGCGATTGAATACTGTGCCTTTTCGCCCAAAACAAGGCTTGGGGAGCTCTAACTAGCCACCCAAGTTACAAGATTCTAATAAATTCTTTAAAATAGATTACCGGTGGTTCTGCAGATCTTTGGAACTCCGGAGGCAAGTTTCTGTTGCATTTCCAAGACTTCGGAAATCGCAGGCCCTCCTTCTCCGGTTCTCCCGTTCACACCACTCTGGTCTTGGAAAGGAAGGCGGAGGCCGTACGCCAGTACCAACCGCCGGAAACCTGGCCTCCTCCAGGTTCCTCATTCAAAGTCCCCGACGGCCGATTTGGCACCCGGGCCGTCCCAGTGCCAAGCTGAAGTTCGGTGCAGCCTGACTGGGTGAGCTGTCCTCATTTATGTTTGGTGGAGCACCTGAAAAACAGCCTTTTCAAAATCATCCATCTGCAACCCCTTTCCTAGAATGAAACCGAGGGCTTAATGTTAATGATTCTGAAATAATTTTTGCAGTGGGTGGTATGCTGGCTGTGATGACAAAACCGGGCAAGGAGACTTTTTTGGAGAAACCAAAATAAACATGTTTGCCGATATAGAGATAATAGGGGCTACAGTAAATATGTTTCAAAGCAATGTTTTTTCTTTGGTTCTGAAGAAACAAAACCTAGAGAAAACTACTGCAGTGGGGGATATCTGCTCTTAAGAGAGTAGATTTAGATACAGTGTATTTGATATGTAATATCATAATCTGCACCTGTGCGAAACACATAATGGAAAGAAAGAAATGACACCAGATTAAGAAGTGATTTTCAATGTGGTTTGACACTTCTGTATTTTATAACACGCCCTTCTATTTTTTTCCACATCATGCTCTGTGAGAAAATCTCTTTAACTAGTTATGATTGAGCATTCGGTATAAATTGCAATCTGTAATAAATAATACTAGCTGTTTATTATGGTCTTGCCGGGTTTTGGTGTGCAGACAATTCCAGAGTTAAAATAAAACTCAGATTAAGATCAGAACCTTGACTCACCCTCACAATTTCTGTTTGCAATGAGCTTCCTCTCTACCCCTTACAGACGGTTACCACTGCATGGAATTTGTGATAATTTGTGAAATTGTTGGGCCAACATTTTGATTTTATCTGGGCAAAGAAAGAGACTGATGATTCCTAATGAGCCTGACAACAACAGATCTACAATCTACCCTTTCCTCATTATCAGAAGGGGGGTTATTTCTGACATAAACCAAGAAACCTGCACTTGCCAGAATCAGGGGTTAAGCCTGTTAGATCGTGGAAGGTTCATCAGGCCCAGCAGAGGCAATCGAACAGGTAATTTACACCTCTGAAAACAACGAATCTGGCAAACTCTGATGCACAGACTGTTGTCATGGCGACGGGGACCTGACAGAATCGGCGCTGTCTTCTAGCCGTGAATATTTTTAACTTAAAAAAAAAACGCAGCTTGTTTAAAAATGGATTGAGTCTGAAAGGATTGCAATGCATTCCTGTCCGTTTATAAGAACGTTCCTCCACCTTCCTCGCATTTCTAAAGAATCACTGTCACCACTGCAGAGAAGAGAGAGAAGCTAGACTATGATGTTCTAATTATAGAACAGACTTTTTCTGATTTTTGCTGTTCTCTAAATCTATAGGATTGTATTTTAATATATATAGTACTTATGAATTTTATTTGTATATATATAGTATATATAGAATTGTGCATACTATATCAACTATATGTACTGTACATGTGTACTTCATGTATATACTTCTTTTATACATGTATGAAGTATAAATCTTCTGGTTACACTTTTAAATGACCAGTTTATTCAACTGAGGAATGATTGTTTAGATAGAAGCTGGCTCTGTATCGCAGGAAGAAGTCCAATGTTTACTGCTTCTTAACAGCAGTAATATAGTGCTGGTGATAAATATTTAACGAGCACAGTCCCTTTTTGTCTTTGAACAGAGAAGATGGAAGGAAATTGATCAAAAAGTGCATTTAAATCGGAGATAAGTAGGGACCTTTTGACCCAAAGGTTTGTGAGAATCCGGAACAAACTACTCGGCCATGTTTTGAAGCCGATACTCTGGATTCTTTTAAGAAATGAGATCCTGGGATCAATCTGTTATTTGTAGAAAAGCAAGCAAGACAAATGATTTCCTTGCTTCTAGCCTTTTTTAAATGTTCCTATTATAAGCCTGGAGGAAAGGAGTCCTCAGAGAAAATGGTTTTATTTTTTAATTCATTTCTGTATTGTACGGTTGATTTTGTTTGTCCCATCAACATAAAAAAAATAGATCAGAAAAAAGTGTTTTACGGAAAGAAATATAGCTAGGTGACATTTTACTCATGCAAAACGTGTAGGAAGAACTGCGCAATATAAAACCACTGAATTACTATAAACGGACAACGTGCCAAGTATTGAACTGCTTAACGTGACACAACCCCAGTTGCACAACCTCGTGTAAGAGGTCTCTCTCATTCAGTGAAGCTTCTGTTCAGCTCAGCAGACTGCTGTAGGACACTCTGTCAACCGATGGGATCAACAGGGCCTGTTAACGGTCTTTGCACACTTCCCAGTGGGCAGGAGTGCACAGTCTCTTCTCAGAAAGTGCCAGGACCTGCTGGCTAGAATTCATATCATGTAACCAGCACCAACTCACCGGATTTGATCATTGGAATATTATTGAAATACTGCATAGAAGCAGCTGGGCTTCTTGAGGACTGAGATACAGTACATTTATCTCACTGAGGTATTACGTAATTCAGTATCGCAGGCACTGACTGCATCTACAGGCATATTATAGAAAGATTTCCTGGTTACACTCTACTGCTTCAGCACAGCTCATATGCATTTTCAGAGATGATGAAGCATTACAAGCAAGCTGTTTTAGTGTGTGCAATGATTCACTGAAGCAATACTAGAAAGGACACTTAACACTGCTTTATTCATGAATTAACACTTCAACATATAAAGATTTTACTTTCAAACACTGAACATCTCGGATGTAAAAATAATGAAAAGATTACTTTTCAACAAAGTGAACATCACACAGTAACCCCGTCTGCTGGGAGGAACCAGAATGGTATTCCTTCTGCTGGTATAGACATTTCACAAAAACTACTCAGGATACAACAACACAATGCATTGAACTCTTAATAAAAAAACAAGAAGACATGTTATTGGACTTTGTAATGCACTAAAACAGATATGGTTTCACAACAATACTGATAGGAGACCTGTTCTTCCAGGTTTAAATGTTTTATTGAGCACCAAATTAAACAAATGCAAGGAAATTTTGGCTATACTGGATAAGCACTTTTACACAAGGATGCTACTGACTGCTATGCATTCCTTTACTTTGAAAGTATCACTTAAAGACAGCAGTATCACTTAAAGTCGGCCATGCTTTTTCATTCAATACAAGTCAGCCCCCGACTTCACTGCCATTCAGGAAGTGAAAGGCCAGTAGCACACCTAATTTTCTCCCTCAGTACATGGTTTGTATGGCCAAAGAACAGAACCATTTTTGGATGCTTCACCACAGCACTGCAATCAAGACAGCACTGCAAAAACTGAAATTTAAGTGCCAAAATTCAGGGAAAAAACGCTTACTGGGAAACAACAACCAGGCACTGTAGTGCTTCGACTACTGTATGTTTTACCAGAATCTAAGCCTTGTTTCAAAAGCGTGCCCATTGTGTCAGCTGCCCTGCTACTCTGCCTTTCGACAGACTCAGTCAGGGTTTACAGTGAAGAAATGCGCCCAGGAATTGTGCAATTCAATACTATTTTTTTCACCTTTTCCTTGTGTTGTGTTCCCCATTTCTCTTGCTTACTATAAACACCAACAATCATTCACAAAACAACAGCAGAGTGAGAGAGAGACCGAGGTCCCCTCCCCTCCAACCTCTTCCGCAAAGAGACTCAAATTTTCACACTTCACTTTTTCACTAACCTGGCCCTCTCCACAGAATTATTGCAACTAAAAAAAAAAACAAAACATGGCATTATTTTTCAAAGTGCTGGAACTTGACAACATTAATATGAGATAACAATCCTATCCAATTACGACCACCTGGACCAATCACCAGGCTCTTCAGAACTCGATCTCCAAGTTAACTTTTAAATTGTCGCAAATTTGCCTTTGCAAATATCCTCACTGTATACGCCCATGTCTACGGAACCGGTAATGGCCAAGCTCTTGGCTGTATTCCTTTGAAGCTCTCTTAGATGAATAACGTAACATGAAGAAGTCACTTTGAAAAGTTAGGAGAAACTAGGGGTAACAGGTCATACTTAAATCAGAAAAAAAATAAATGCAGAAAGCTTCGATATGTCAAAAGAAAGAGAATCGAGAAGATAACCTTCAAGATTAAAAAAAAAACAACAAATGTAGAGATGATCTGATATCTGATCTAGGCATAGGAAATAAGAGAGGCTACATCAGACAAAGGCTGACTCGTCTGTAGACAGACACCAGGCTGCGTCACTACCTAACCTCAGCACAGTCTGCATGGGCACTCCATACACTATACTGAACTTGCAGCAGTGCAATTTCAAGAAGAGATAGTGTGCTGTGTTTTAAATAAGCCTCTGGATGAGACGAAAAGACCCTTATAAAGAGTGTTTTACTATGAGACAAGCTCTAAGAGCAGCTGATCCATACAGTACGTGGTGTGAGGAATTTGTGCTGGTCAGAGTTCAGCCATGTCTGCATTTGCAGGCTTTCAAAAACGTCTCTGCCGGAACAGGAAGAAAAGAACGCAGAAGAGCAGTAAACGGTTTCAGATTGCACATTAAGCATCTAAGTGTTGTGGTATAGCGATCCAGATATTACCACACCGCTGCAATTGAATCATAACAGTTTGGGATCACGAAGGGAACGTGCACTGCAAATCAGCAGCCAACAGCCTGCTTCAAATTGGGATTAACAGAGATGATACTGATACTCAAATTTGCCTACAGAGTTACATGTATCTAGACAGCGGGATCCAACAGAGTCAATTAGAAAGATCTTGTACTGTAAATTTATCATATCACCCTGGAGAATATTTATGAAAGAAAAACCTACAACTCCAAAAACTAACTACGATAAAAATAATCTCATTTCAGCCCTCTTCTCTTCCTTTAATACAAATTTACACTGGTTGAGCAGGACAGCAGGTGGCTGCAGAAACCTGTGCTTTAAGAGTTTTCATGTGCTGCTTCACAATACATTTTGCTTCAGAAGCCCAATACAGCCCAGCACACTCCAGCTCCTCATGTGCAACAATCTGTCAGGTCGCTTAATGCGACATTAATCCTAGTTGACCGTGCTGTGGCGTGCGTTATAAAGTAGTGCACTACACAAAACAAAATAAATCAGAAAAATCCGTGCGCAGCAGGATTTCGAGTTGGGTGTTGACAGGGTGCCCCAATATCTGATATGTAGGGCAATAGCAAAAGAAAAAAAGGATAATGCTTGAAATAAAATAAAATAATATAATGACCCAGAGCAGAAACCTTGCATACTATGTACTGACTTTTATCTTAAAGTCCTGTTACAAAACTGCTGGTCATTGAAATTAAACTTTCTTCTTAAAACAGGTACGATATGCACTGTATGCAATTCACTTCTGCCCATGTGGTTCATGAGCCCTGAGTGTTCTGTCGATGGCAAGTGATTATGGTTTTGTTTTTCATAGTAAGAAGTGCTAATGTTTGGGCCTCGCCCATGAGCTGAAGAATCACCAGGAATGAAGAACAGGCATGCCCGATAAAACCTGGAGTCTCCTTGGGCCTGCCCATTCGGCATCCTGTGAACTTGAGACACAGCGGAGGCGAACGCGAACACAAATGAAATGTTAACAATCACTGAGCACGACTCCGACAAAGATATCGATGCGCTGCAGTTCTGGGGCTCTGCTTCAGAGGTCTCAGAACAGTAGTGCTGTGTCTGAATTTATCAACCTTCTCAAATCTACTGCCACACACTGCTCTCCGGATACAGGAGAGCACAGTGTGACCGGTAAACAGAGGGCCCTAACAAACCCTGAATTCCCAGGTATCCCGGGTTGGAAGACTGCAGTCCAGGCCTTGATATGAGGTCGTGGGGCTGGTTCCTGGCCTGCGAGTACTGGGCCTCCCTCTCTCTCCTGCTGTCTTGCTAGGAGGCCATGGCGTCCTGGAAGCCCCAGACCTCCAACAGGGCGATCTGGAAGGCCTCCGCGCACAGGGGCTGGTTGTCGAAGGTGTGGCACCGGGCCGTGCGCCCGTGGTTCAGGTCGGCGTCGATGTAGAGAGCGTTGCCGTCGCCCCCCCCTGGGAGGAGAGAAGCAGCGTGGGGTCAGCGGCGCTCGAGAAGCACAGGGCTCTCGGGGGAGGGATCAGAAGGAAGACGCAGAATCGAAACGGGTCAGGTGAGCGGATCGGAGAGGGACTCTAAAGTTAATAATGATTGCGTGCCACTGGTGAATTAAGACCACTTTTTAAAAAACACCTTCTGCCTTTTTTAAGACAAGTGGCTACAGTTGATTTAAAAAAATTCTTTCAAAAAGAATACGAGATATACATTCATTACAAATCTGTTAAAAAATAAAACCAGAGCAAACACACAGCGAGAGACTGAAAACTACACGTAAGGTGCACCCGGGAATTGACTAGTGGTGTTATTTGTGTGGAAGAAATTAAAAGACATCATATATCAACTGAAAGGTGAATCGCAATTTGGCATCTGCCAGGGATGTGATGAAAAATGGGACAACAGCGAGGTCTAGTGGCTGGCAGAGTTTGCCATTTGTTTTTCTATAAACAGTTAAACTGTTCACACTCTACATTAACTGGCAATTCTCTGGCCTGTATTTCAGTTCCTTTTAAAACAATAAACTGACCTTTGAGGGTTTTTAGAAAATGGAAGTTACAGACTGTAAGATATAGGCTACTAGTCTTTAAGGAATACAGTTTACAATAAAAATCAAATGCAGATTAATACCAGCGATTTAAAAAAAAAACTACAAAAATAATTGTAGGCATAGCTTTTGGAAATTAAAAAAAAATGTAATTGAATTTATGTAATCGGCATTTAACATCTTTAAATTATTGCACTTCATTGAATTAATGCTTCTGGCTGGATTTCAAATCTGTTTCACTGGTTGTCGAACCAGTTCCTTTGTTTTTAGAATTGCTAACATACAGTAATATTTTTAAAGACATCTGTGGAAATAATCTTATTGCCGAGTCAGGAAATGTCCTGTTGTATGCAACAGAATTACTTAGAACTGGCAATTATACACGTGCACTGTTTAATCAAATGTATTGCATCAGTCTAATTTAATTTGAGCATTCAGGAAAAAAAAAATCTCTTGGGACCAAGATCTCCATTCGAATCCATTCATCTAATTATGAACATTTATATTTACTTATATTAAAAATTAATTTTACAAATTGATCACAATTCTAAGATACATTAAAAAATGCAGACCCTAGTCAGATCAAAATGACAAACCTTGGCATACAAAACAGAACAGCTGTCCAAAAACACCCAGCAGTTTGTATGGAGTGACAATGGCCCTACGGTATACAAAGCAGACTATAGGCATGGAAGCAGAAGTGGATACCTACTATTGGGGTGATTATCTTACGCAAGTGAAAACTTGCAACAATCAGAGTTCTGGCCTCATAACTAGAAGGTTGCGAGCTCAAATCCCAGGCGAGATACTGCAGCTGCACCCTTGAAGAAGGTGCTTCACCTGCACTTGTCCGCTCAATACAAGCTGTATAAATGATTGCAAAGGCATTGTGCGTTAGATAACAGTTTGAAATGAGGGGGAAACTGCTCTCCTCGGCCACCCCCAGCGGAAGACAATATTATCTTGCCCCGTTTGGGAGTTGTCGACTGATCGTTCAATACTGAGTCCTAAGTAGACACTTCAATCTGCACTTCATGTTTTCAGGTCAGACATTTTGTCAGGTCTATGCCGGCTTTCAGTACCTCCTACTGTGTTCTAAACTCTTATTTTTAATTGTGCTAATGTTCCTTGTAAACCCTCCTTTCCCACCCTTTTACTGTTAAGCGCTTTGAGAAGCTACTTTTAAAGGCGCTATATAAAATCAAGTTGATTCGTCCCTTATTATAGTAGTCATAGTAAATTAGGCCAGCTTAACTGAAATCTGCCATCCAGACAAGAGCTCACCAATGATTATCGACTCCTGACTGCCAGCCATGAACATGGAGGTGTTTCTGGTGTTGAGGTTGAAGTGGCGTGCAGAGAGGAAGGGGGAGAGGCGGTCGGTGGGATCAGAGTTCCCTTCTTTGGCGGGGAGGGTGTTGGGGTCCTCTGGGGTCTCCGGATTTTGGGGTGGGGCGGCAGCTGCAAGCTCGGGGTGACGGATCACGACCCACTCGTACCTCTCCATCTCTGGCTTCAGCTGTGCGGAGAGAGGCAGAGGCAGGAAAAATGAGGAGCAGTGAGACTGAGGGGCAGATATGAAATCCTGAGGTGAACAGATAACATGGACTTTGAAGGCAGGGAATTGGAAGGTGGGAAGTGCTGCCTGATACATACAGTACCATTTGACAAATGTGCATCCAGCATGCAGCTGTGCGAGCAGCATGCAGCACACAGTGACCTCTGCTGGACACCCGGCATACTGCAACTGACAGACGAATGATTTTCCTAATAATACTTTGCATTTCTACAGCACATTTGCAGAAAATTTGCCCCTCTGGTTGCGAAGGATGGAATTTTGAAAAAAGCCAACTTAGACCTTGAAAATAAAAAGTCTAGTTGCCCTCCAACACACGGTCAGATTGTAGATGAGTACTGATATCTGGGACTGCCCATAAATAAATTTAACGTGATGAATGTTGAAAGACCATAAATAAATACTTATGGAGACTTTTTTTCTAAGGAAGCTTAGCTTCTTCAAGGTGGGCAGAACTATTTTAATACTTTTATAATGTGAATATTTTGTTAAAAAGTGTACTGTTTTGGTGTGGTAAATTCAGTCCTAAAAATGCAATAAGTTGGAGACAATAGGGAACATAAGTAACAAAATCACTGGCATAAATCCAAACAAGCTACGTGCTCTAAAGAATTATAACATATAATTATAATGAGGAATTATAACACTCCATCTGGGGGCAGTTTCCGTGCCTTAATGATGACAGAAATATTTTAGCAAATTGTTTATCCCTCTTTAATTTCACTTTGAATAATGTAAAATAATCATGTATACATCCTGAAACATTATTTGGCCTCTATGTTGAAGGCTGTTGTTATGTTGTATTGGAGTCTACTGTAAAAAACAAAACACAATTCCCACTAGGAGATAACGATAAAGTCGGAATTTTTAAACGGCGAAAAAAACAAACAGACTGATATCTGGCTGACTTTCTTGCACACATCTTTTAATGCGACCATCGTTATCACATGAAATACCAGCTTATTACATGACAGCTGTCAGGGTAAGTGGGTACTGGGTAACAAACCATGGTGCTCTGTGATTGGATAAAGGGCACACATCTGCCCCGCAAGCTCCGCCCCCTGCTGCACCAGCTGCCTGAGACAGGTGTGAGGGAGCTCAGGATGGGCTTGGAATCCTCAGGTTACAGCCTGCCTGGACAGTGATCACTGCCATCGGTACAGTGCAGGCACCCCCTTCTGTCCAGCGGATTTACCCTTCTCTCCTTACTTTGTGTAAAAAATACATTTAGCGGCAAAGTAAATGTACAAGTCATCCTGTAAACTTTGGATGTGCCGTCACATTCTGTAAATAACTTTTGTTTTATAAAAGAGTCTTGGGAGGAGTATCGGGATGCTCAAAAAGGTTTAACTGCTTGTGTTTCTGCAAGCTCTGTTGATTCTCTAACAGATGATCAAATATCATATTCTTATTAGAAAATCTAAAATCTGTAAGTTTTAGTACCTCAAATCACAATACAATATGCTCACAACCTCTACTTGAATCGGCTTGCACCCACTCCAATTCCAGAAACAGGGTTTAAATCCCCCCCAGTGTGTTGTGTATATTGTATGATGCATTTGCCTTGTAATTTGCACTATCTGCACTTTGTGTATCCTGTCTACAATGTCTACGTCAGTGTCCTGTCTGTATTTGCACCGTGGACCGGGAGGAACGATGGGTCCTTCCACTGTATACTTGTATATGGCTGGAGTGACAAAGAAACGTGAACTTGAACTTGAAGAATGTGGTCCGAGCCATGAGAGGGCTACGAGAGTGACCTCTTGTGGTCAACCAGAATCACTACATCACTGGAAAATTGCCATTATTTTTCACATTGAGCAATCAGGAGTACTACCCTGTCAGCATTCCTGCCTCGCAGTGCTGGGGCCCGAGGATATACCCTATATACAGGGCGAAAAGAGCAGGCGCTCTGCAGACTCTGCCGATGTGTTTCCTCTGAACATTGTGTGACCTGAGACTGCAGGGCGGGGCGGGACACAGACAGGAGGACGGGGCCGGGGAAAGGCGGGACCCACCCTGAAGACGAAGCACTCCCCGGTGCCGAAGAAGCTCAGCTTGCCCCCTCCGCGCCTGCGCTCCTCCCAGTCGGTGGACAGGTAGGCGCCACACACCTGGGCAGGGGGAGGACAAGGCCCCGCTGTTAGAGCACTGTGCCACCCCTCCCTCGGGTCTCCCCGATCCCCAGCTCACCCACAGGGTGGGTGCCCGCTCGTGCCGGTGTGTCTGAGGCTCTGGGACCCAAGACAGTCTCCTTTCAGCCGAGTCAGTTGGATGTTAAGGCTCGTAAAAATGCAGAAGACAATGACTCACACTAATCATTCTGTTGACTCTTCCTGTAATGACACTGCGTAGCTGCAATGGGCATGAACAGGTCTATTCTGACATCACGTTACAATGACAGCTACACAGGCCACTGTCTGATTGCTGGCAGGCTTATGTTGTTGACTTTCAGTTACTGATAAGGTAACTCTCTCCCCGCTGTCTGTGATAAAATGTCAAGAGCAGAACTAGGCCGCAAGTGAAGGAGATTCACTCCCAGCATGTGTGTGGAGAAGAGAGTTTGGGCTCACTTCCTCAACTGCTTTCTGCTCAACGGCTGAAAAGGTGGGAGGGGATCGGACATGAAGGCGTGCAGCTCTGCGCCATCGGCGGGTATGGCTGCTGGGTCGGTTTTGAAAGCGATCCAGTTCTCATTCCTGCTCGCCAGTGCCTCGTGGGGTATCATATCTTAACTCACACCGGGCAGCCCACCGGAGCTCAGCGGGTGTGAGCCCGGTCAGTACCTGGATGGGAGACCTCCTGGGAAAAACTAAGGTTGCTGCTGGAAGAGCTGTTAGTGGGGCCAGCAGGCTCACCCTGTGGTCTCTGTGGGTCCTAATGCCACAGAATAGTGACAGGGACACTACACTGTAAAAAGGCACCGTCCTTCAGATGGGACATAAAACCGAGGTCCTGACTCTCTGTGGTCATTAAAAATCCCAGGGTGTTCCTCGAAAAGAGTAGGGGTGTAACCCCAGTGTCCTGGCCAAATTTCCCATTAGTCATCATGGCCTCCTAATAATCCCCATCTCTGAACTGGCTTCTTCACTCTGTTCTCCTCCCCACCGAGAGCTGGTGTGAGGGGAGTGTACTGGTGCACTATGGCCAC